AGAGGCACACCCAGCTTACTAGCATAAACAAGGGGGGATCCATAGGACCCTGCAGGGGAAAGGAGCCACCCTGAAACAGGTTATCAGGGCCAGTGCTCAGGGGATCAGCTAATTCTGCAGGAAACAGACAGGGTTATTCACTAAAGGGTGAAGAGTTTGGAGAATGCAGGAGAAGTGCTCAGGGGACCAGCTGATTTTGCAGGTAACTGAAACTCCTAAACATTAAAGGGCAGCACCCATTGTAAGTGATCTCATCAGAATTTGAAATAACATTTTTACTTTAATATCACTATAAAGTAGCATTAAACTCTTAAATTGTTTGCAATAATAAATCCAGATAAAACACATATACATTGCCCAGCAAACTATTTCTTTGAATTTTTGCCCCAAGTCATCATGTTTCCAAACAACTGGCTTCAACTCTCTCAGCTCCGCTTCCCTGCACTCCCTGTCCAGTACAAGATCACAAGAATAGCTTTGAGAAGGAACAAGAGAGGAGAGAGGAGCAGGTGAATGGCTTGCCTTGCTGTGCCTGTATGTTTGTGGAACAAGCCAATAAAGGAGATTGACCGTTATTTGCTATGGAGTGTGAGTGACTTTTTGGCTTCTATGTTTGCGAAGACACATAGACCTTACTAGCACACACAAGGGTCGCTCCACAGAATCCTGCAAGGGAAAGGAGCCACCCTAAAACATGATATCAGGACTAGTGCTCAGGGGACCAGCTAATTCTGCAGGAAACAGGGAGGGTTATTAGTTGAAGGGTGAAGAGTTTGGAGAAGGCAGGAGAAATGAACAATCTAGGACAGGGGTCGGCAACCTTAAACACTCAAAGAGCCATTTGGACCCGTTTCCCACAGAAAAGAAAACACCGGGAGCCACAAAACCCTTTTGACATCTAAAATGAAGATAACACTGCATATATTGTTTTTTACCTTTATGCTATGTATAACATGTATATAGGTATATGTGGGCTTAGTAACGCACTGGTCTCTGGGCTTAGTAACGCACTGGACTCTGGCCTTACCTGGGACCCCGCAGAGCCCACCTGAGAGTGACCCTGCAGAGCACACCATAGATCCTGAACAGCCCATCTGAGACTCTCTATGGTGTGCTCTGCCGGGCCTCAGGTGGGCTGGTCGCTGGGGTCACTTTACCTGTACCTCCTCCCAACTCCTCTTACCTGCTGCTGCTGGGGCCCGGCCTCCTCCACCCCTTCCCCTGGCACCTCTGCATGCCACCCCTGGTACAGCTGATACCCATGTAAGAGGCCCCCCAGGCTGCCCAGACCCCTCACATGGGTACCGACCATAGCCCCCTGATGGCAGTGTTCTACCAAAGTTTGTGACTATGTTACAATGTGTGACCGGTGATGTGGTCACACATTTCAATGTAATCCCGCCCAGTTTTTTGGCGGTGGAATGTGTGACCACCAATAGGTCAAGCCTTCCAGGGCAATAGGTCAAGCTGTTCCAGGGCAGATCGGCATCGCAAATCGTATGTGCAGGTCCTGAAATGTCACTTCTATCCGACTCTGTGAGTGCGATCTTTCATTCCACCCCACTCACAGAGTCGGATAGAAGTGACATTTCAGGACTGAACAGCTGTTCCAAGGCAGATCAGTTCTCCTGCACATACGATTTGCGCTCCCGATCTGCCCTCGAACAGCTGAGAAGCGTTGGAATGCTTCACCTATTGGTGGTCGCACATGCCACTGCCAAAAAACTGGGCGGGATTACATTGAAATGTGTGACCACGGCCCCCGGGACCCTGCACTGCCACATATTCCACCGGGGGTGCCAAGGACCGGACCTCACTGCCCCCCCCACAGCCTCAGGTCCTGAGTCCCCGGCGGTAGTTCCCCCCTGGACAGGGAGCCGCAGCAGAGTGATGAAAGAGCCACATGCGGCTCCAGAGCCGCGGGTTGCTGACCCCAGATCTAGGACAACATAGCTGAACTGGAAAGTGAGCTGAATTGGAGAATTTTCCGGTTTAGCTATGTTGTCCTAGATTGTTCACTTCTCCTGTCTTCTCCAAACTCTTCACCCTTTAGTGAATAACCCTGTAAAATGTTAAACTTCCATTGGAAGTGATTGAATCACTGGATTTACTGAAATTTTTTAAAGTCCATTTTTACAAATAACAGAAAATACAAACTGTCGTAATGATAAAAACCAATCAATGATAACATTAACTTACTTGTTTTTCTCCACTTGGCTTTTTGTGGTTTAAAAGCAATTCAACCGCTCCCACTACTTCTTTCCGTATGGCGTGCAGTAAAGCATCTCCGACATAGACATTATAAGTTAGCAAAAGCTCAATAAGCTCAAGATTCTCATTTTCAATGGCAATCAATAGTGCAGTTCTTCCCAGGGGATCGATGCAATTAATATTGATTTTGAAATAAATTTCCGCCTCATCCAGGGCTTGCTTCACGCTGGCATAGTCACCTTTCTCTACTGAAGTCAGGTAAGCTTTCTCATATGGCGAGAGCTCAGATTCAGAGCGTACAATGCGCAGGGGAATCCGGTCTTGGAAAGGAGAGCTGTTGCTTCTTCCATAGTAGAACTGAGCCATTTTTTATGCCATTATTTTTTTTTCCTCTAAAAACAAAATAGATACAATCATTTTCACTGTTTTATAAAGTATTCTTAATTAAAGAAAATAAATACATTTTATTTACACCCTAATCCAAGAAGGGGTTGTGACTATCAGGTTTATTGAATATGCTTCCCTGTTGGGGAGATTTTTCCTCACTTCCCATCAGGACAGGTAGGGATGACAAATTTTTGTGAAAGGGACATAGACAAAAATGAAAGCACAAATTTAATAGAATAAGAAAGGGTTGAAATTCTGACAATGTTATTGCCCTTTGAGCCTTCCTGTCCCACTGACATCCCTCTTTATTTGTATGGGTATCATAGGGACAGTGAGTGAAGTGAACTAAATTTTCCCCAACCAGGTCACAGACAGAATCAGGAGTCTGACAGAAATTTTCACTGTTCTTCACACTATCCAAAATGAAAAAGAAAAAAAAAACTAATCAGCTCTACGGTTTGTGTATACATTACCTCATAGACTAATTAATGGGCAGCAAAGCATAGCTTACTTTCTGTCACCTAATCATAGAACAGACATGTCAAACGCAATACAAAAAAGTTCAGAATTAAGTAGGACAACACAGTAAGGGGTTTCATTCGTTTTACACATGGCTATACTTATCTAAGTGTAAATATATGGAAGCTTTAGCTTTGTAATTAATAGTGGTTATAATAGAGCACTAGAAACCATCTATATGACCGAGGACTAGTCCAGTCTAGTTTGCTAGATGTGGTGGGTTACCCGCTTAGCCCCTGTATTTTCAGCAATTAAATTATACAAAGTGGTGTATCCAGGGTATGGCACATATGGCACATGTCCTGGGTGCCACTTGGGTGCCGTTCCATGGGCCAGCAAAAGGTCACCAACCCACAGAGACAGCAGATGTTTTTCCTCCCTACCCCTCTCTCCCATACACATCTCCCCGTCCAGCCCTTAGCAGACAGGAACACTCGGGCCGGTGTCCTGCCCGTCTCCTAGCAACTAGCGACTCACTGGGTCATAGACATCTCCCCGTCTGGCTCTTAGCAACCAGAGTGGGTTGGGAGATGTGTATGTAGCAGGGAAGTCAGCCAGAAGATCTCAAGTTGCTAAGAGCAGCATAGGGAGATGTGTATGGCCCTTACCCATCTCTCCGCTCCCAGTTCTTAGCAACTTGGGACCCTCTGACTGGCATGCCACCCTGCTCAGTGACATTAATGGTTGCCAGGAGCTGGGTGGGATGCCAGGGGCACAATTTGTTCTAGATACGCCTCTGATTATACATTATCTATCATTACAGGTATTCGTATAGTGCCATCAATTATAAACCTAGTTTTACTCACTAGGCTGCAAACCGATGTAAGAAAGCATAACATTTAAAGTGAACCTATGAGAATATAAATATCTGAGATGCCACTGCTGTTTCAGTTTTTAGAAGGGCTGGCTTTCTGCATGCTTGGTCCCGGTCAACTACTTATTAAGTAGTGGGGCCAGCATTACAATGGCAGTCCTGCAGTCTGCACCCATATAAAACAAGTCCGCCATGTCAGCTCCTATATTTCTATGCCCATGGGAAACAGTGAACCACTTAATTGTATGTAAACTCAAAATGTTATGTAAAGTATATCTAAAGCCAAGGCTTTGTTTGTCATTATGGATATAGTAGGAAAGGGTTAAAGCCCCTATCAGGTCTTTTCTGCCTTCTGTGTATGGAGACTGTCCTCTACTTCTTCTCCTGTAGACCCAATAGGAAGTAAGATACATTCTAGTAAGAGAAATTTCCTCTTAGCTGCCCCACCCTGAGCATTTCTCCTCCATTCATGTTAAGGCGATAGGTCCAAATTTTGGATCTTCCATTACTTCCGGTCCCTGGAACAATGGTCAATTAAAGAGATTGTATCTAATTAGTGGGGACAGAAACAGCAAAAAGAACCCGATGGAGATTTTACCTTTTTCCTACATTGTTCATTTTTTTTTTAAACACAATTTTTTTGCTTAGTTACACAACAGGGTCTACTTATAAAAAATTTGGATAGCTTATTAATTCAGTGAAACTGCAGATACATTTGTTATGTGTGGGTTAAGCAGCTGTTGTGAGAGTGGTGCAAACATTTATATTCTTAGTGTAATTTTTATTCTGGTTAAATGTTCTGCAATAGGGTAATAAATACAGAAAAGAATGGAGAAAATAATGCATTATGGCCACTAGATGGAGCTGAGGATCATAGGAAATAAATACATGGCAAGATACAATTCAAGAGAACCCTTGAGAGAATGAGCAAATAAATGTTACCGTTGCTATCACCATAGTTTCAATGGTAACATTTGCATGCAATTTTTTAAATAATATGCAATATTTATAGATTTCCCAAGATAATAATTTTTTCGGAATGTTTTGGTATCATTGCCTGGCGATCCTGCCAGTTATAGCATTATGCAACAGACTTTCTACTACATTCTGACAATGCTGAGCACTGTCTTGCAGTGAGCTGAAGTGTTGTCACCCTGCCGTGCATGGGGCTACAGGACGCTGCAGAACAGCGTTCATATAGTCTGCACTAGGGATGTTCAGATACCAAGTACTGTGCTCGGTACAAGTACAAGTACAGATACTTTTCCAGCTCCAGGACTAGACTAGAGAAAAATTCAAAAGTTAGAGGCAGCTGTCATTTGTAAGGAGCATATGGAGCTCCTGGGATTTGTACATCTCTGTTTTAATTCATTATTTATTTTTTATAAATATATATAAGTGATACACCGATAACATTTTTCCACGTACAAGTACTGATACATTTTTGTTTATTGTCATGTGACAGTTTTTCTAAAACAATACAGACTAATGATTTCAGGACAGTGGTGGAGTGCCAGAGCCAGGTCGCAGCTGCAACCGCTGCAACCCTGGTAGTTCTCATGAAAATGCCAAGTATTGGCACTGGTATCTGAACATTCCTAGTCTGCACACATTAGCTTACTGATATGTTCTGGCCACACCTCCCGCGTTGCCCTGTCATATCTGATTGGTAGGGATCTCAGGCGGATTAAGTGGCCTCTACATGCATACGAGATGTGTACCTGCAGATGGCCAGATTGTGAATCGTGTGCAAAGCATGCTTTTAGTGGAAAAAAAATATGATTTTTAAAAATGCAATTTAGTAAAAAAATGACAATCTAGTATGTACAGCAAAAGAGTAGGTTTACATATACTTTAGGAGAACTGGCGTAATATTTAATTGATCGCACTGGCCAAAGAGTAAAAGGCAGGGGCAGGCTGAGATGGAAGAGGCAGGATGCCACAGCTGGGGTGAAAGCCTTTTTGTGTCTGAATTGCCCAGCCATGTCCTACACTGTGCAGGACTGAGCTCAGTCCTGCAGATTGCATTGGGAAAGCGCAGCTCTCCAGGTGTGACCATTGGCACATTGCTCCGCTGTCAGTGTGACAGCCGTATGCTCTGTAAAACAAACCACAGCACCTGGCTGTCATGAAATTTAGATGATTAGACAGGGAGAGCCACATTCGTCCTGTGTAATCTGCAGGGATGCTCTATACATTTGACAGCTGGGTTCTGCTCTGCATTAATGAATTATTAAAATTATTAATTAAAATATTAACCATTATTATTTATCAAAAGTAATTTATGAATTACTTTTATGTGTAAATCAACAAAAAAACTTTAAAAAATAATCCCTGTATTCACCCCAGTGAACCCCAATTAGTTTGTATTCACTTCTTTATTTCCTTTTTTTTCTTTTACTGATGTAAAAGTATAGGGGGGTACACTTTGGCATTCTTGCCTCGGGTGTCAGAGGATGTTGTCTTGGCACTTGTAAAAGGGCTTTATGTGGCCCAAAAAACAGCTTAATATACCTGAAAAATGTTCCCAAATATCACTTTTGGGGCACAGATACAATTTTTCTGCTTTTCTATTTTGATCATTTTAAAAATTACAGAAACATGTATCTTTGTGCAGGCTAAGAATTAGGGTGTTCCAGCACTTCACTAAAAATTTATTTTGTTTGTATAAACTACTCCACAAATATCTATGCTGTTTCCAGTTACGCATTTCAAAAACAATATGCATTAAAAAAAACACAAATAACAAAAATTTGCAAATTAAAGAACATTTCTGATTATTGAATGCAATATTTATAGATTTCCCAAGATAATAATTTTTTCGGAATGTTTTGGTATCATTGCCTGGCGATCCTGCCAGTTATAGCATTATGCAACAGACTTTCTACTACATTCTGACAATGCTGAGCACTGTCTTGCAGTGAGCTGAAGTGTTGTCACCCTGCCGTGCATGGGGCTACAGGACGCTGCAGAACAGCGTTCATATAGTCTGCACTAGGGATGTTCAGATACCAAGTACTGTGCTCGGTACAAGTACAAGTACAGATACTTTTCCAGCTCCAGGACTAGACTAGAGAAAAATTCAAAAGTTAGAGGCAGCTGTCATTTGTAAGGAGCATATGGAGCTCCTGGGATTTGTACATCTCTGTTTTAATTCATTATTTATTTTTTATAAATATATATAAGTGATACACCGATAACATTTTTCCACGTACAAGTACTGATACATTTTTGTTTATTGTCATGTGACAGTTTTTCTAAAACAATACAGACTAATGATTTCAGGACAGTGGTGGAGTGCCAGAGCCAGGTCGCAGCTGCAACCGCTGCAACCCTGGTAGTTCTCATGAAAATGCCAAGTATTGGCACTGGTATCTGAACATTCCTAGTCTGCACACATTAGCTTACTGATATGTTCTGGCCACACCTCCCGCGTTGCCCTGTCATATCTGATTGGTAGGGATCTCAGGCGCATTAACTGGCCTCTACATGCATACGAGATGTGTACCTGCAGATGGCCAGATTGTGAATCGTGTGCAAAGCATGCTTTTAGTGGAAAAAAAATATGATTTTTAAAAATGCAATTTAGTAAAAAAATGACAATCTAGTATGTACAGCAAAAGAGTAGGTTTACATATACTTTAGGAGAACTGGCGTAATATTTAATTGATC